ATATATACGTATATATATATATATATGTATATATATATACACAGACACACACACACACATATATACATACAATATAATATAATAAATAATCAGATGCTTGTTTTGGATTAGGGGCACTGGTAATGCAGTGATTAAAGTAGTTGGCTGCTAATGGGAAGGTTGGTGATTTAAGCCCACCTGCTATTCCACAGGAGAAAGATGTAGCAGTCTGCTTCCATAAAAATTTACTGTCTTGGACACCAGATGAAGCAGTTCTACTCTGTCATATAGAGTCACTATGAGCCAGAATTGACTCAGTGGTAGTGGGTAGGATTTGATTTAGTTTGTTGTCGATTAGGTCAATTATTGAGAATCACGGTTTGTGGATAAGAAATAAACCCAATTATATGTGTACAAAGTATTTTTTATTTCTGTGAATAATAACATAAGTAAAACTGTTTTATTAGAAATTTTCAAGTATCAAATTAATACAGGTATTAACTTTTATAAGTAGCTAACTCAATAGCACTATCAAATCATAGGATTGAATCAACACTCATAGAAAACAGTAGCCGAATGCACAGCTTTTCAAGTGCCTCTGTAACGTGTACCAAAACTGACCATATTCTGGATCACAAAACAAACCCCAGATCATTGAAAAGGACTGAAATCCTACAGATTCTATTCTCTGACCACAATGGAGTCAAACTAGAAATCAGTAACAAAGGTAATATAAAGTCTCCAAGCACTTGGACATAAGCAACACACTTCTAAATAATCCATTGGTCCAAGATGAAATTTCAAGGGATATTTAAAACATACATTAAACTGAATAAAAGTGAAAATTAAACATATCAAAATTTGTAGGATATAAAGTAATCTTGAGAGAAAAAATTTACAGTAGAAAAGAATAAAGGTTTCAAAACAATAATAGAAGAAACTAGCAAAAGCAGAAGGCAAGCAATAAAAGATTGGTAAGGTATGAGTGGGAGCCCTGGTAGCATGATGGATTATGCACTGAGCTGCTAACTGAAATGTCAGCAGTTCAAATCTACCAGATGCTCGGCTCCATGGAAGAAAGATGAGGGTTTCTGCTCCTGTAAAGGTTTATAGCCTTGGAAACCCTATATAGGGTTGCTATGAGTCAGAACTGACTCCACGGCATACCACCACTACCACCAAGGTATAAACCAAAGACAAAGCAAAAATCTTACTTAATATAACAATACCTTACCTATCAAAACCCAGACCCACTGCCATCAAGTTTATTCTGTCTCACAGTGATTTTACAAACAGTTAAGTGTCGGGTTGTTAATCAAAAGGCTGGAAATTCAAGGCCACCTGGAGATGCCTCAAAAGAAAGGCCCAGAGATCTACTTTCGAAAAACCAGCCATTGAAAACCGTATGGGAAATCCTGTACAGGGTCACTAAGAGTTTGAACCAACAACTCAAGTTCTGTACTTGGTACTTAACAACAGTAATTCCTCACTGATTGACTATCTCCTTATCTGACACTTTGCATGGGGTCACCATGAGTTGAAACCAGCTCAGTAGTTTTTGGTTGTGTACGTATATATAGGATTTAAAATTTTTTTATTTTACTAACTATTGGGGGAAACTGGATGAAAGGTACATAGGACCTCTAGAACTATCTTTGTAATTCCATATATATCTGTACACTTATTTCTGGTGTCAGTTTCAGGACTAAGCTGTGCCTGACCCAAGCCAAAGTTGGACAAGGAAAGACTGTAGAATTGATGCATTTGAGTTATGGTGCTAGAGAATATTTAAAGTACTAGGGACTGCCAGAAGAACAAACAAAATTGTATTAGAAGTACAGCTAGAATGTTCCTTAGAAGCCAGGATGGTGAGACTTTGTCTTCTCATACTTTGGACATGTTATCAGAAGGGACCAGTCACTGGAGACGGATATCATGCTTGATAAAGTCTAAGGTCAGCAAAAAAGAGGAAGATCTCCAAGATGGATTGCCATAGTGGCAGCAGCAATGGGCTTAAGTAGAACAACAGTTATAAAGATGGTGCAGGAATGGGCAATGTTTTGTTCTGCTTGCATAGGGTGCCTATGAGTTGGAACCCACTCAGCGGCACCTAACAACAATTCCTGGTATGGACTGCTAACTGCAAAGTTGGTGCTTCAAATTAATCAGCTGCTCCTTGGAAACCCTATAAAGTTGCTATGAATTGGAACTGACTTGACAGAACCTAACAACAATAGCGATTCCTCACTGATTAACTGTCTCATTATCTGACATTTTGTATATTTACAACAATAGTAAAAAATCTACTATCCAATTGTTCTGCACATTAATGTGGTACACCTGGAGTAATGAATGCCAAGGTGTGAGGCAAAAGCAATGTTGGCTGTGATGGTTAGGGTTATGAGTCGTCGTGTCTGGCCATGATTCTCAGTGGTTTGGCAGTTATGCAATGATGTAGTCATCTTCCTAGGTTTGTAAAACACCTATTTTCATATAATGACCTGGTCTTTGGAACCTAACCATGTTGGTAAGTGAGGACTGGATTTAATTATTTAAAAATAAGAAATTAAAAGAGACAATAAAAGATGTATTCAATTTTAAAACTATTTTGATATTCTCATTAAAAACATACAGTTTTGGAGACACTATGCAGAGTTGCTATGAGTTGGTTTGTTTTTTTGTGTTTCAAAACACTTAGAAGTGCAAAAATAAAATCATTTCATTTCTGGTCTATTTGGTTCCTTTTATTTTTAAAATAAGTTGCAAATCAAGCAAAATGGGAAAAAAAACACATAACAAAACAAACACACACACACACACAAACTACAGACTTTCAAAAGGATAAAAACTGTATTTCTGACTAGTGCTAGATATCAATGCAAAAAAAATCCAAACCATAAATACTTTCTAATGTGGAATTTCATTGGACTGAAGTGACAAAGGAGTTCTGGTGTGGCTCTGTGGGCTAATGAGCTGGACTACAAAGTCAGTTTGAACCACAAGGTTAGCGGTTCAAGTTCACTAGCCGCTCCCTGGAAACCGTACACAGGGTCACTATGGGTTGGAATCAACTCGACAGCATTTAACAACAACAAGGTGTTAAGTCTCATGGTTCATAAGTAAGAATTGAACCCAATGATATATAAGTAATTTTTATTTCTCTAAAAAGACAAATTTTACTAGAAATTTTCAAGTATCCTAAAGTCACATATTAGCATCATCCATATGCCAAGCACTTTAAAAGTATTTAAAAGATAAATGCTACTACTGATATAAGGAAGTTTGGTAGCGTAGTGGGCTATGAGCTGAGTTGTTAACTACAAGGTCAGCAGTTTGAATCTACCAGTCACTCCTAGGGAGAAATATGAGGCTTTCTAAACCAGTAAAGATTTAAAGTCTCAGAATCCCCATACAGGGTCACTATGAGTTGGAGCCAACTCCATAGCACAAAACCACCATCACCGATATGGGAGTCCTAGTGTGGCACTGTTGGATAAGCACTGGACTGCTAACCACAAAGTCAGTGGTTCAAGTACACCAGCTGCTTCTTGGAAACCCTTAACACCACCATGACCATCACTGATATATATGTCACACAAAATGACAAATCCAAGAAGCTGAAATTTTCCATTTATTAAATTGATTTGAGTAAATCTCGATTTTGAAAATAACAAAGAACAGGGGACTTGTAAGTAGCTATAATTGACTTGTGATCCTTACTTAGACTTTGGGAGGCTTTGACTTCCTCATCAGAGAAGTGGGCATATCTACAATAGTAGGGTGATACACTAAATGAATATGGTTTGTTGTTGTTATTAAGTGCCATAAAGTCAGTTCCATCCCACAGAGAGTCTGTATAGGGTTTCCAAGGAGCAGCTGATGAGCTTGCAATCCAAACCAACTTTGTAGTGCAGCGCATTAGCCCACAGCACCACATCAGGACTCCTGAATGTGGTCTAATGGCATGTAAACATTAATGATTAAAGTCAGCAATTTATAATACTCTTACACACAGACATCATGGTTAGACAATTCTTAATTCTTGGTAAGATATTCATAAGGCAATTATTTTTCTCCAAATATCTATAATTTCAATGTTACATCTCACTGATTTGAAGTTACACAGTTTTTACACTTGAAATATCTACAGTTGACAAGTATCTTATTGTTTTTGGTGCAATGCAGTCATGAGACATTTGTAATCAAATGTGATTGTGCATCAGTATTTGAACAAAGGGTATCATCAGCTTTGGAAGAAAACACTAGAGCTAATAATGGGTAATATTTTAAGAAATTCTACACGACAAATGTGACCAAGGCATGGCATTTTCTGCTGCTTCATATGAATGCAAAAACTGGAAAATGAATAAGGAAGACTGAAGAAAAATTGATGCCTTTGAATTATGGTGCTGTTGACGAATATTAAATATGCTACGGACTCCCAGAAGAATGAAAAACCACTATGTTGGAAGAGGCAGCACGCACCTTAGAAACGAGGATGGTGAGACTTCATCTCACATACCCTGAACATATTGGCAGGAGGTACCAGTCCCTGGTAAAGGGCCAGTGAAAAAGAGGAAGACCCTCAACAAGATGAATTGACAGTGTGGCTGCAGAGTGGGCCAAACATGCAAATGACTGTAAGGATGGCACAGGATTGGGCAGTGTTTCATTCTGTTGAGCAGAGGGTCACTGAGTTGGAACCAACTTGGTAGCACGTAACAATGACCATGTTCTTAATAGAGAATGATATTATGTAGAAATACATGGACATTGTGACTGAATTAAAAACTGAATCAGAAGAGAAGAAGCTTTGGAAGGACCTTACAATCAATGTTGCTTATATTTTCTTTATATGTACTTATGTATAAGGTGATATGTGAATTTTTAAAAACGTTTATATAAAAGAGCTCTTCAGTAAGTATAAAAAGTACCAAGTGATAAAGAACCATGCCATAGTTAACTGGCATTTTTTCCTTAGTTGTTGTTGTATGCTGTCAAGTTGGTTCTGACTCATAGTGATCCTGGACAGGGTTTCTGAAGCTGTAAATCTTTAATGAAACAGAAAGCCTCATCTTTCTCCTGCAGAGCATCAGGTGAATTCTAACTGCTGACATTGTGGCTAGCACCCCACTGCATAACCTGGTATCCCACTAGTGCCCTTTTCTTAGTAGTATATAAGATAACAATGTATTTTTGTAAGATTGCATCTTAACTTCAATGAAACACTACTGTACTCAAGAAAACACTGACTCAATTTTCATAGCTAATACTCTCATTCTTTCTATGAATGTATTCCATTAAACCTTGATTTAAATAATTGAATCAGTAAGAATGCATACACAATCAAGAACACAGTCTTTGATCTATAATGATATAAAAGCATATGTTACTCCATGGTGGTGGGTGTGTGCCGTCGAGTCAATTCCGAATCATAGCGACACTGTATAGCATTTCCTTTACAGGAGGAGAAAGCCTCATCTTTCTCCCATGGAGCATCTAGATTCAAACTGCTGACCTTGTGGTTAGCAGTCCAGCTTGTAATGAACTATACACTACGCTACTAGAGTTCCTGCCACTTCATAGATTGTTGTTGTTAGGTGCCATCAAGTTGGTACGGACTCATAGGGACCATATGCACAACAGAATGAAACACGGCCCAGTCCTATGCCCACCTCACATAGAAGTGGAATACTAAACTGAAGCTCTGTTCTGACTGATGTGGACTTTGGTTTTATCAAACCCTCAGGTGATACTGTTCTGGTCACTGGTGTTTCTAGATAGAGCAAGAGTGCTAACTATATGCAAGGCATTGAATTAGGCACTGGGGATATGCATGACCCTTGCCTTCTCAGTGTTCAGTATCCACTAGGCAAGCCTGACAATAACTAATTCACACAAATAATTTAAAATTGTTTCAAATACTGTGAAGGTGGACAGAATATTAAAATTAGTATTACTTTATGAAACGAATAAAATTTACTGTAAAAGTCAACAAAAAAATATTTACTGATTGTATTAAACTAGTTGCCCTGGAATGGCTCCAGTTCATAGCATGTGTGTCTGAGTAAACTGTTAACAGGGTTTCAACGGCTGATTTTTTTGGAAGCAGATCATCACATTTTTCTTTTGAGGCTTCTGGGTAGAATTGAACCTCTAAGCTTTTAACTGAGTTTGTTAACCATTTGCATCCCCAGGAACCCCACTGATTATATACTTTCTTTCAAAGTTAAAGTATTCATTACCTCTAGTATGACCTGAATGATACAGAGGTAGGACTAATATGATGATAATTAAATGACTATTCTAGAAAAGAGAACAAGAACAAATAACCACTATTCTATGTACTTATATACTAGAAGCCACAGATCTAACATGAATAGTAAATGAATAGGACCTGAATTCCTAAACCTAAATTTAATAATTCCACAAGTTTTCTTTCTGAATTTAGTTTCTCTGTTGGTAATAATAACTACTGTGTAGAAGATCATGCTAGATATATACACAGCCATGTTTTAGAAACAGAAAAGTACTATACCTAAATAAAAGTACTACACCTAAATATCAGTTAAAAAAGACAAGAATGGCTGTTATCTGATGTTTAGTTACATCGTTAAAATTGGAGTTTTGATCATTGCTTATATAGATATCATTAAAGTAACTATATATATGATTTACATTGCTCATATATAACGTTTTATATACATGTTTTATCTGCTTTGCCATAATATAAATTCCCTGTGGATGGCAAGCAGATCTTAAACACAGCACTTAACACAGACTTTTAGTAACTATTAGCTAAACTAACAGACAGATCAAATCAGTTCATTCATTTTACAGCCCTTTGAGGATTTGTGTATTTGTGTGTGTTCAAAATGTCATCTGCTAGCAAATGACTCAAGGCCTCAAGAAACTATAGACTATATTTAAAAACAGAATAGAACCCATCTTAAGGAGAATAGAAGTAAGCTGCAGGTAATTGTGTAAATTAATGTGGCACTGTAGGTTAATGTGCTGGACTGCAAAGTCGGTTTGAACCACAGGGTCGGTGGTTCAAGCTCACCAGCTGTTCTTCAGAAACCCTATATGGGTCGCTTTGGGTCGGAACCTACTCGACAGCACTTAACAACAAAGCCTTTAGTTGACATTTACTAGCAGTCAAAAGGAGGAGGCAACCAGCAGAATCCCTACCACAAAGTTAGGCGTTTGCATTTATCTGCAGAGGTAAAAATTGAACCCCAAACAGCAGGGCACTCTCATTATGTGGACTTCCAATAAGTCACCTACAATCCTGCTATGGCACTGGTAGGATCAGCACTGGACTGCTAACTACAAGGTCAGAGGTTCAAACCCACCAGTTTCTCCTTGGAAACAGGATTACTATGAGTTGGCACAGACTAGACGGTACTTAACAACAATCTACATGGAATTACGTAAGTAGAAACATCAATATGAACCGTTATCAAGTCTGAGAGCATCGTAACTGAGCAAAGGCAGAGTACATCTGCAGGCCTCTGAATTTAGGTACTTGGTCCACAACGATGTCTTTGCAATAGGGCTCGGGCGCAGGTTTGGCAATCGCAAAACGGCACCTTGATCACTGTATCGCTACCATAAAGGGTGGGCAGTCTTGGCCAGTGAAGGAGTTTCAAGGTGCGCGGATTCTCGGGGGAAACTGCATCCTTGGCTGAAGGGGCTCGGGGCCAATTTAGGGGTGCCGCGTCATACAAGCCCAGGGGGCAGTATTCACTTCATAGTCTTGGAGAATGGCAACCCCTACTAGCTGAGGAACCCTTTCCCGCCCCTGAACATCAAGGCGCGATACACGCAACTGGAGTCCCAAATTCCCTTATCTGTGGGTAGAAGGTACCCCCAGTTCCCGAGAATGAAATCCTACATGACTCCCCTTCCCTCAGACCCAGGAGCTCACCCATCAGCAACTGCAGCCTCCGAAGTCTCCACCCCAACTCTCCGAGCCTCTAGAGGATTGATTGTGATTGGTTTGCGTCACGGTCCCGTTACTTTTCCCCGAAGAGTCCGTGGCGAAAGTGTTCGGTTCTGGGCCTTGGACCCGCCCTTCGCGCCCCTCTGAAGCCCCGCCCCATGTGACGCCACACGTTGCCGCAGAGCGCAACGGAGAGTCTTTAGGTCCTTAGCTCTCAATCGCTTTCTAGGAGAGAAGGCGGCCCGATGGAGCGCGAGGAAGTGGAGTTTTGGTAGACCACGTGCCCATGGACGTAGAGCGACACCCCGCCCCCTGCGCACGCACGCTGAGAAGAAGGGGGTGGGACCACGTTAGCATCCGCGCCATCTCTGCCCGGAGGTGGCGGTGAGGTCCGTTTTCAGTGTATGGTTTACCCTGCCAAGCGTTTCTGCTTGGTGCCAGCAATGGAGGGCGTGCGCTGGGCCTTTTCCTGCGGCACTTGGCTACCCAGCAAAGCCGAGTGGCTATTGGCGGTGCGATCGATCCAGCCCGAGGAGAAGGAGCGCATTGGGCAGTTCGTCTTTGCCCGGGACGCTAAGGCAGCCATGGTATTACGGGTCTTTGGTATTTACAGTCGAGAAAGCGATGTTGGGGGAGGTGGGCCGGGCTGCGGACACCCTCGGTTCTGTCGTCCGGTCGATGCCTGCGCTCTTGCACACCCAGGCCTGCACGGGGAGAGAGCTGGTAGGCGCTGCAGTGCCTCCGGGGCGCGCAGGCCTCTTCTCGACCTTTGTAGTACCAAATTAAATTTATTCTTTGCTTGGGTCTAGAGATCCTGACTAAGCTGCCTTTTAAACACCCCAACACTCCCGGGGCACCCATACACGTGGTAGGCCTTAGAGAATATTGACAGTATGAATGTTTTGCAGTGTTTCCCGGTGGAGAGGCCTAGCCATCCTCCATTTATCAGTGCAACAATCCAGGAAGGATACCGTTCCAGGCTAACGTACCTTCCTGACTAGATGGTTTGGGAAGCAGTATTTCAGATAGAATCATTTATTTATATTTTGTATTTAAAAATAACAACTGGAAAGTTTTGATTACAAAATGTTTTTGCTAGATGCCATCCAGTCGGTTCTGACTTAAAGCGAACGACCATAATTATGCACAACAGAACGAAACACTGCCGATCATTTGTTACTGCCACTGGGCCAATGCATCTTAATGGGGATCTTTCTTTTATTATGATCAATTCAAAGACTGATTTCTTGAAAATGCCCCTATTACAAAATTTCTCTTTTGAAATGTGGGCTACCTGATGCATTTTTTGAAGGCATACTGGTTAAATGTTTCCTAAAACACTTAAATTAGTAAGAAACTGTAAAATGAGCAAACTTCAAATCCCTTCAGTATTTAAAAGTCAGTGTCAAAAGTAAACTATTTAAAAAAAAAACCCAACTTGGATATTTTACAAAACATTCTGTTATGATTTGTCATCTTATGGCCTCCTGTAAAGATTTACAGCCTTGGAAACCCTGTACAGGGTCGCTATGAGTCGGAACCGACCCCACGGCACATAACAACAACAACAACAACAATATATATATATATACTGGTGTGTGTTTGTATTCATTGGCTAATAATTAAGGGGGATAGGAGAAATGTGTGGCGCACAGATGAAACCAGTCATGAATTACTAAATTGTTGAAGCTGAATGATGGTTTTATAGGATCTTAAATGGTCTCACATGGACAAAGATTTGGGTACAATACACAAAACTATGGATATAACAGGGCTGCTCAGTGCAGTTTTGTTTTGTTTTTAAATAATAAAACTAGAGCCAGCATAAATGACCAATAATAGGAGAATAGGCAAACAAGTTATGGTACATTGAAACAATACTATTGTTAAAAAGCATGCACAGGACAGATACAAATGTAAAGATTTCCTAACAATTCCTGGCAGAATACTTATTATAGTATCTCATTTATATATGTATCAGAAACATACCAATGCATATTTAAACACTTAGATACTTAAAAGACTGCAAGGATCCCTACTACCTAACATCCTGTTAGCAGGCAGGGAATTGCTAAGGAGAGACTAACTTTCTTTTAGCAGTGCTTTGTATTCATCTGGAGTCCTGCTGTGGCACTGTGATTTAATGCACAGGACTGCAAAGTCGGTTTGAACATGTTGGTGGTTCAAGCTCCGCAGGTGCTTCTTGGAAACCCTATACAGGATCGCTATGGGTCGGAACTGACTTGAGGGCACTTAACAACAACAATGTATTCATCTAATAGGAAATTTTAAAAACTTTTAGAGATTTAATACTTTAAAAGTCACAAAAATATACTTTGTATTATTAATTTAGGGAGTGTTAGGAAATCTTGAGTAGACATTGATATATATACCTCTTGTTTCATATATTTAACAGGCTGGGCGTCTGATGATAAGAAAATTGGTTGCAGAGAAATTGAATATCCCTTGGAATAATATTCGTTTGCAAAGAACTGCAAAAGGAAAACCAGTTCTTGCAAAGGACTCATTGAATCCTTATCCCAATTTCAACTTTAACATCTCTCATCAAGGAGACTATGCAGTGCTTGCTTCTGAACCTGAGCTACAAGTTGGAATCGATATAATGAAGACTAGCTTTCCAGGTAATGTTCCACTATTGTAGCACAGAAATTAAAAGTGTCTGCAGGAGACCTGGTGACTCTGGGTTAAGCGTTGGGCTGCTAGCCACAGGGTTGGCAGTTCAAACCCACCAGAGGCTCAATGGGAGAAAGATGAAGTCATTTGCTCCTGAAAAGATTTACTGTCTTGGAAAGCCTAAGGAGCAGTTCCATTCTGTCATTTAGGGTCGCTGAGTTGGAATCAACTTGAGGGCTGTGGATTTGGTTTGATTTTGGTGATGTCTCAGTTGTTACCTATTGAGTAATCTAAGACAAGGATGTATGTTATAAATAAGTAAGTTTAGGGGAAAATGTGTGTAATACTCAAAGGTCATATCTGAAAGCATATTTATAATAAGGGTGTGTGTCTTTGAATATTATTAGATTTCTTTATAGAGAATGGACTCCTGGTATGGCACTGCAGGATTAGCACTGGACTGTGAACCACAAGGTTGGTGGTTCAAACCCACCAACTACTCCTCGGATACCCTATTGCTAATGGGTCAGAACCCACTCGACAGCACTTAACATTAACAACAAAAACATATAGAGGATTGTTGTTGTTAAGTGCTGTTGAGTCGATTGCGACCCTGTATAGGATTTCCAAGTAGCAACAGTTGAGCCTGAACTGCTGACCTTGTGGTTCAAACTGACTTTCAGTACTGTGCATTAACCCACAGAGCCACATGCATTTATGGGGAATGTGTAATGGGTTGTCCAGAGGGAAAGTTAAAATAAAAATTAAAGAACATTTTGAGACTCTTGTTGTGGCACTTTGGGTTAATGCGCTATACTGCACAGTCAGTGTGAACTTCAGGGTTGGTGGTTCAAGCTCACCAGTCACTCCTTGGAAACCCTCAAAGGGTCGCTATGGGTCTTGACGGCACTTAACTATTGTAAAGCTCAGTGTATGTATGTCTTATATTTAAGAAGTAAATGACACATTGATTTGAGCCCAACAGATGGTCAATTTTGAGTAGCACACAATTTGCACTCTTAAGCTGTAAGAGTTTTATTTCATTTCTTTCAGTAAATTACTAACTGAAACAAGGGATCTCAAAAGTAAAGTACTTAATAGTCCTGGGGTAAAGCTAACATGTTTCGTGCTATATCTAAATACAGCTTTTTGTAGTCCATTATATAAGTAAAAATGCTGTTAGTTACAAGGTTGGCAGTTCAAACCCACCAGCCACTCCATGGGAGAAAGATTCATCTGTCTGCTCCAGTAAAGATTTAGAATCTGAAACCCTATGGCGCAGTTCTACTCTGTTTTATAGGGCCACTATGAGTCAGGATCTACTCTACGTCATAGTTTTTTTAAAACTATTGAGGGGGTTCAGTTTCCACAGACATTTTAATCAGAACACAGGCTTTCTTAACTACTCTCTGATCATAATCATCATTAAAATTTAGACCAGGGATGGTCTCTGCTGATAACAAAATCTGAAGTATGAGAGACAAAGTCTCGCTATCCTTGCTCTAAGGTGCTTTCTGATTGTAATTCTTAGTCTTAGCAGTCCATGGTACTTTCAGTATCTTTGCCCACACATCATGCTTCTACAGTCCTTATTCATTATCTATTTTCACATGCATATGAGGTGAATGAAAATATCTTGGTCAGGTGCAACTTAGTCCTAAGCCACCCTTCTTGTTGCTAAGAGCCATCTAGTTGGTTCTTATGACTCATAGCGACCTTGCATAGAGTTTCCAAGTAGCAGCTGGTGGCTTTGTACCTCCAGCCTAGTGGTTAACAGTCTGACTAGTGGTTATCCTACAGTGCTGCACCTGGGCTTGTGCAAAAATCAGTTTTCCATGAACTTTTTGAAGCCCCCTCATACTGTTATTTTGTCAGAAGATATGCTTACCACCTCACCACCTTTATTTCATAGTGCAACTGCCTGATCTCTAGACTGCCTCCTTCAAAGGTCTTGACGTGTGTTTTCCTCTGGAACTTTTTCATTCATTTTATATTCCACCCACATTTCTGCATGTTGTTGTTGGCTGCCCTGAAGTTAATTTCAACTACTGAAGACTTGTACTCAAGGACCTTTTCAGTGGTTATAATCTTAATTGAAAGGAATCCCAATGGTGCCGTGGGTTAGACGTTGTGCTGCTAAACTCAAGGTCCGTGGTTCAAACCCACGTGATGTTCCGTGGAAGAAAGATGAAGATGAGGCTGGTTCCTCCCATAAGATCTACGGTCTCAGAAACCCTGAGGAACAGTTGTACTTTGTCCTGTAGCATCATGTGAATTGAGTTGGCCTGATGGCAATGGGTTTGATTTGGTTTTGGTCATCTTAATTGCAGCACATTGCTATCTATGTCTTTTCTTCCACTGTGCTGCTAGGTGGGTTTGAACTGCCAACCTAGGTTGGCAGTCCTGCACCAAATGTATACTTGTTGTTTGTTGTTGTAATGTGCCATGGAGTTGGTTCCGACTCATAGCGACCCTGTACAGGGTTTCTGACGCTGTAAATCTTTACGGGGGCAGAAAGCCTCATCATTCACCCGCGGAACAGCTGGTACTTTCAAACTGCTGATGGTGAGATTTACAGCCTGATTAGCAACCACTACACTACCAGAGCTCCTTAAATGTATGCTTAGTAAATACTAATGAATAAACCTGTGCTGCTAACAGTAGTCTCAGGAGCGTGTATGTGAATGTCTGCTCTCACTTTTGCTTTCATTGTCTCTACCTTGCATTTTTCCAATCACTTCATTTTCTCTGACCTGCTCATAAACGTTTCTTTCACAAGTATGTTCTCCAGTTTTGCTCAGAGGGCAACTCTAGGACTGGTTGTGGAAACATTATAACTAACAGACTTTTTTGATGCAGAGTCTGTGGATGAGCTTGAAGGGATTTTTGTTGTTGCTTTAGCCTCCTGAAATTGTTTGCTACGTTTTATATGAATGTGCACATGGCTTTCATCAGTGTCATAGAGGGGTTAGTCTAAAAAGGTCAATGCTAGATAGACCCTTGATAGCTTTCTATTTGGAGTACTGGTGTAGCACTATGGGTTAATGCATCAGACTGCAAAGCCATTTGAACTGCAGGGTTGGCGGTTCAAGCTCACCAGCTACTCCTCCAAAACGCTGTACAGGGTCACTATGGGTCAGAATTGACTCAACGGCACTTAACAACAACAACAATTTTCCTAAGTGAACTTTCTTTTCCTTAAAGCTGAAATTATTGGAGAGACTATTGTTTCTTGGAGTGCAGTCACCTTGACCCAGCAGGCTGATACCTGCCTGGGAATTAGGCCTTTGAGAAGCAGATTTTATTGACAATTGGGTTGATGACCATTGATGGCTTATGCCCAATATTGGATAACCAAATAATTACTAATTGAGACTTTTCACAAATGATAGGAAAGTTGTTGTGTACTGACTGTCAGGTTGGTTCTGACTCATAGCCGCTCTTCATAGGGTTTATGAAGAGTGGCTGGTGGGTTTGAACTGCTGACCTTGTGGTTAGCAGTCCAGTGCTTACCCTGTAGTGCCACACCAGGACTTTCAATAGAAAAGTAGTTAAGCAAAAATTTAAAATTGTTCTGTTAGATCATGCTTCCCCCCGTTCTCCAACATCCTCCCCATTCTAGTATTTGTCATTGACTGATTTAGCACTCTTATTTGAGTAATCATAGTTTTTTTGTTTTTTGTTTTTTGTCTGACTATTTCATTGTCAAAAAGCTTTTCATAGGTGTGGTTACACTTAAGGAAAGAAATATTTTCCACTTGTTACTAGTGTTGTTATTATGAATGGATATGCCATGATCTGTCAGTGAGAGTAGAAAGTAGACATTGGTTTGCTTTGGAGACATTTGAATGCTTTACTTAACAGAGTAAGAGGAAATTGAGCAAGGGAAGTCTAAGATTCTTGCTGAATGAGAGCAAAGGAAGTAGTATAGTTTGTACTGTTGCTTAGTATTTGTAGTTTGTACTGTTAACTAGATCTTGAACTTCCAAGATGGACTCAGGCTTTGGGGCATCATTTGTGTATTGAGAAACTGAATTTCATTATTCCCATCTTCTCTCTGCAGATAAGCATCATGTATGAACTAGGAGTATTTTCTTCGTAATTTAACCATTAACTACAAATGCATTTCTTTTCCACTCCTAGTTCTCTCATTGCTAGGGTGACAGTACAGGAAATAATGTATTGATGGATTTAGTGGCATACCCACTATTAAAGTGATTATGCTGTGATTAATGGGGAGAGTAACCTTACACATAGGTCCATAGCAGGCACTCACTAAATATTTGTTCAGTGAATTTGTTGAGTTCTGTTGAGTCGATTCCGACCCATAGTGACCCTGTATAGGATTTCCGAGGAGCAGCTGGTGAGCTTGAACCACTGATTTTGCAGTTTAAATGGCTTTGCAGTTTGGCAAATTTACCCATAGCGCCACACCAGGACTCTGTCCCATTTACAGGGATTATAAACTAACCCTAAACCGAATCCTCTCGTAGATTTGTTTTCATTTTCTTCAGCTTTAATTTGAATTTGCATATCAGTAATTGATGGTCTGTTCCACAGTCTGCCCCTG